CCACAGATATTACGTTAATGCAGTGTGCAAAATTCGTTGCTTCCTTTGCTTGTCCCCAAAGGAACTCATAATAATATATCATTAATCTTCTGGGTGCGCATTATTAGTCCCAGAATTCAGAATAATATATCATTAATCAATGTTAACAACCCAATGCAGGCAAAGAAAAATATATTTACTGATTCAAGCTTTCCATAATATTCGTATCGTTCGTCTAACTTTTCTTGTATGTTCAAATAACCATCCCAGTAACACTTCCACTTGAAGTTTTCCTATCAACAACATGAGTTAAAACCTAGGGGACCAAACCTTCATCCAGGGTGGCACTAAAAGTTTGCTCAAGAAAAAAACCGTGCAGCTGCTGCTAGTTAGCAAACTGAATCTCCTACCAGCTTGTTTCATGAAGAGATGATATGCTGAAAGGTGCATTTAAAGCATTGACAGCCGACAGGTGAAGCAATGCACGTTCCCTTGTTAGACCAACACAGACCCTTCCCTTTATATTATATCCTTGAAGCTGGCGGAACTGTCCTTGTCGAACCACATTGATATACCGAAAAGCTCTAAATAATTAGTGCAAAGTATTACTCGATTACCATATAAATTTCACAATGAAGATCATAATATGCACAGACCAGAGTATTCACTCTGAGTATCCACTGGCCTCACTATATCATGGCAGATAATGCCTCAAAATGTGGGAGTTTCATAGGCCAATTACTAAAGCGAGGTCTTCTTTTTAGAATTTTTGAGGTTAAATTGAATTCCTGCGCCATTTCCTGCATAAGGGGTTGACACTAACTGTGAGTGAAAAATAAACAACAACTGGCAAGAAATAAAAAAGAACAAAAAACAACACCAACAAGAACACCAAGATTTATACTGGTTCGGCAATGCCTACATCCAGTTTGGAAACAACGGAGTATTCCACTATAATCAAGGAGAATATACAATAGTGTTTATCACTCAATTTCCCAAAGACCCAAATAACTCAAGCTCACACACTCACAATAGAAAGAGAAAACCAAAAATACAAAGCAAAGAAAAATTTGAGAATTTTCTTCTTTCTGCCAAATGGCTTCTTGCTATTTTCTCTCTTCCTCACTTTTGGTGCAGCTTCTTCTCCACTCTCTTGCTGCTGCCATGCTTCTCTATTTATAGAGAAGCCAACGGGTGAAGGCCAACTACTTCAGTTATGATGCCAGCTACTGAAGTCAAACCACTTAATTAGCCAACGTCCAACAATTAATGTTCCCATGCAATTTGTCTGCCAATCAACCAAGACAAATAGCCGAAAGCAACCAATCAACCAAATACCAAGGCAAACAGCCAACTATAACAATAACTAGCAGAAAGTTTCACCTTTTTGACTTCTTTGAGCCAATAATCAACATAAGGTAACCAGGTGAAATTAGCTAATAGATGAAAAGTCATATCCAGTTGACACCTTGCTACTAGTTAATTAAGAACCAGTAGTTACATAACTAATCCATAAATTTTGTACCAGCAGATATCGAGCAGAAGCTAAATCTACAGATATCTGATACTACACAAGACACTGATTGTACTAAAAAAAGCTTTCATTTACACATAAACCACAATCCCTACACATAGTTTTGAAGTACTTTTTGTCAATCAAAGCACAAAGACCTCTTATACTTCCCAAATACAAACCACTTGCACAACTTATTAGCTAGATAAATAGAATTTGACCAAAAGTTGTCCGCAAAATCAGTATCTATAATATTGACTACCTTGGTTTCTCGATACGAAATCTGATTGACTGGGATTTTGGCAGGGCATTCATGTCTTAGGGACAAGAAAATCTGCAACAGCCGCTTTCTGTCAAACAATAAAAACAATTTGACAAAATTGTAATAAAATGCATTTCTAAATAAAAGTTGTTGCATACTTATCAACCTTCTCTAATGCAATATCACAGAGTACACATTTCACAGACCTGGTTCACTTGAAAGGGACTCATTAGCTCATTTGACAATGGTAGAATGCGATCATGCAGCGCTTGTTTCAAGCGATCAACCACAAGAACCATTTCAGAGCCGTGAGGCGATTGTCCAACAGTAATGGAAGAAAGGTAAACAGGTTGCAGAAAGAATGAAAGCAGAGCTCCTGAAATAAGAATATGTACGACCTCACCAACTAACTTATAACTAGTAATGCCCACGTAACCAAGTACGGCCAATATAATCATGAAGATTAGTCAAACTGGCTCAGCCTAGGTACACCATCAAACATTCAAGGATGCCAGACCAAAAGAAGCCCTATCTTGGGTACATGATAGATCAGAGTTTCCATATCCAGGATTGACTGAATGAAGCCCTATCTTGGGTACATGATAGATCAAATGACAAACCTTGAACTCCAACTACATTCCAACAAGCCATCTTGTCAGAGTTGTATCACCATGACCAGGCTTTCTTTTAACCGAGCCAATTAGTTGTGAAGCATCACCTGAAAATAAGGTAACATACAGATACTACATGACTCAAATCTCATGTCAAGGGTAATGATTCTTTTCTCAAAAAGAAGCTGCCAACATTCACTAGAAAAATATTCAACCCACCACATTATGATGAAAAATGGAAACATAAATTTTTAGCAAAGATAGAACAAAGAAGAGGACAAGTACAAAATCCCATTACCATTAGTACTTGGCAGAGCCTCTTCATTTATTGAAACATTAAGCTCGTCCAATGATGAACCCCATTCTGTTGGTGAGATGTTTTTTGGGGGAGACAACAATGAACTTGGAGATGCAACCCCACCTGCAAGAAAGGAGACTAAGTATAATCGCAGTATTGGTTTGTCCTGATATAGATATAAAGATCTCTAAGTAGGGCAAAAACCGAAGAAAAAAGGACTCTCTTTTCTTGGATATGAACAAGAACTGACATGGTAGTTGTGATATGTACAAGTGTAATTGCAAACCCTCCCTCAGTTTGTATTTTCCTTGGCCATCACCATTAGGGTCCAATTCAAAAAGCAAGTTTTTGGCATCACCATTTTGGAATTGTGTGCTTCCATTGCTATCACTTTGCTTACTATAAACTTGAGTAAGACACTGAATCTGTGCATAGAAGAACCTAGTGCCAGAGAAGCCAAGTATACCAATAAGCACCATACACTAAAAATATAAGGTAAAGATATAGTTAACAAATGCAAATTCCCCCCAAAAAAATTGGTACTTTTCAACTAAGCACACATAATTTGGATGCATTTCATGCCACGTGAAGCATAGCACTCGTAAATTAGCAACTTTTTATTTATTAAAATCTTGTATATATTTTCTAATGAAATGAATATATAACAACAAATATGACAGCTAGCCCTATTAAATTTAATTTTGATTATTAAATTACTTTGATGCCTAAGTGTTTTGGGTTTTTTTTATGAGGTTTTGGGGTTAGGCTTGTTTTAAGAAATTAATGGTAATTTTGTAATTTATAGGAAGTTCAAAGCCTCTTTGTTATGTTGTAAGCGGATTTTGGGTGTATTTCTAAAGTTCATTTTATGTATGATTTTTTTTTTAATTTGAGCCCTTATATTGAGTATAATAGTAAATTTTCCAACAAAAAAAAGGAAGAAAATGTAATTTATTAAAAATATATGCAAGCTCCAAGGACAGATTCAAGTGGAGTTGCAGGCAACAGACCCTAGTGAGATGAGCTTGGATGTCATAAAAGGGCGGGCACTCTAATTGATCCATCACTTTGTCACATGATCTATCTTCAATTTTATTTTTTGTTAGTTGTGTGAGCTATTTTATGTTAATTACTTTATTTTTCAGATCAGATGTGTATTCAAATTTAAAACATTGATTGGTACATTCCTTTGCTATATATTGGTGTGTGTCAGATTTTATTGTGTTATTTTTTATCACTTATCTAGGACATATTAAATTACAAGTCACGGCCTATGGAATACATGGAAAAAGCTTCTATTGCTTTTTATCAATACTTTGCCAATACTCATTTTCCCAAGCTTCCACTTGCCTAGTTGAGTTAGCCTTTCTCTCAAGTAAATCGCGGAGAGCCAGAGGATCATATGTTGGAGGCAGAGTGCATGGGAGCTCATCACTTGGAGACTCCACCATAGACTCCACCATGAACTTCTTCCATGTACCAGTTGCAGGGCATGCCATTGTTTCTGAGCATAGTTCCACTGCATTGGGAGGTATAGTTGGTTTGAATTTCAAGAGCTTTGCATATTCATTTAGCACATGAAACATGTAATCATACACATAGTCCATCTTTAGATCTTCTTGTATGAAGTTGCTCGCAGCCTCCCCAATCGCCTTCGCCTATCATATTCACGAGATACCAAATGTAAATCATTTGAATGTGCAGTTGAAATTCATGTCACACAGTTACACTGTTCAACACAAAATAATAATAAAAAATCGGCATACAGCTAAAGTTCTAACCTTGTCTTTGTGATTATTGTCAAACAAAGTAGGGCAAATATTCAGTTATGCTATGATACGCTCATATTTTTATTCTTCTCCAATATGGAGGTATTTATACAAGTACAAAGATGTATGAACCCCAAATAAAATAGGAAATATATCTAAATTACACTAGGAAGTCCATCTCTATTCCACTAGGACTAAATAATACTTGGTAAGCAACCAAAATTCTAATGGAATAATGAACCAAAATCCTAACTAAGTAAGGCCTCGCCAACCCTCCCCCTCAAGTTGGGCAAAGATATTTTGCACGCCCAACTTGACAAGCGAGTCACAGAACTCCATACTTGAGAAGCACCAATTGTAGAGAAGGTCTTTTCATCAACCACGAGTGAAACAAGTGACAAACTAAAGCAAAGTTCGCAGCGAAAACACAAGAGCAAACCCTAAAAAATAGGGCACATAGCAGAACACAGAAACCCTGTGAGCACGGCAACAGATAAGGCAGAACACAGAAACCCTGTGAGCAAGACAATAGATAAGGCAGAACACAGAAGCCCTGTGAGCACGGCAGAAGATAAGGCAAAAACCAAAACCTAAAAAATAGGGTAAGGCAAGGCAAACACACCAGCAAAGGCATGAGCAACAATACTGGCACCATAACAGGCAGGAGCAACAAGGCAGAGACATAACAAGCATCATCAAGAGCGACAATAGCGGCAACAGTAACATCAATTGTGGTAGTAGAGGCAACGGCAACGGCAACGGCAACAGCAACAATTCTTCCATATCAACTTTAGCTAATTCACGTAGACACAACTTCTCTTCACTCCTCCTCTCCCCCTGAAGAGAAGAGGTCGTCGGAGTCAAGAAATAAGCAACATCTTCATGGGAATATGTCAAGCTAATGGGGATACGTCAATAAACATATCGTTTTCACTCCCCCTCCCCCAGGGGGGGAGAGGAGAGCACTTAAATTGTAAGGAGAACGCAAACACAGGTCACAAGAAAACCTAGGCTCTTATACCATGTCAAACAAAGTAGGGCAAATATTCAGTTATGCTATGATACGCTCATATTTTTATTCTTCTCCAATATGGATGTATTTATATAAGTACAACCCTAAATAAAATAGAAAATAAATCTAAATTACAATAGAAAATAAATCTAAATTACAATATGAAATAAATCTTAATTATAATTGGACTAGACAAATAGGTAAGAAACTAAAATCCTAACATAGTAAGGAACCAAAANNNATTATTGCCCCATTCCACAGCAAACTTGAGAGAAGTGCACTTGCTGTTGTCCCTAATAGGCCAAAAGTGCTGCAATGGCTCCATGCCCCTTATGAAGAAATCGTAATAGCGAGCCCTTACATACAAGGTCATAGAATCACATGCCAGGATGTATTTTTCACTTACAGACCATGCATTTCCTTCTATATAAATTGTGTACCTGCAAAAAACCAAATCTCTATACATAAAAAAAACAAAGGAAATTTTAAATTTGTAAAATGTAATTTCAAAAACAAAACAATAAAAAAAAAATTGCAAAAATTACCTGTGCTTGCACTGGTTTTCTAGGTTTGAATCCTTGAACCCATGTTTAGATTCTTGCTTCCAATTCTGGAAATAGAAGATCAAAACATTGCACAAATGAATACATAAAAAGATTGCATTTTACACATAATAATAGTTAGAGAAGTTGATGCACCTAAATATATAGGTGTGTGTTCCAGTCATTTTTGTCCGAGACATTGCATTTGAGAAGGTCCCTTCTGGATGGAGCCACAGTCGGGTTACCTTTCCAGTAAGCATAGGGCACCCTGTCTTCCCACTTTGTTCTTTTATTGCCTTCTTTTATGCTTTGCAATAGACTTCTCCATGGTTTTATATTGATCTCAGCCCTACCAAAATTAAAATTAGCCCATCTATAAATTTCACTAATAAAATTAATTTATCCTCTCAAATCTCCTTTTTTTTTGGGGGGGGTCACCCAATTCAAAAGCTTGGGCCAAAGTTGGTGGAGGTGAAAGGGGTTTTGGGCCACACATCTCATACAAACAATTTATGGGCCAAAGTTTTTAATAGAACTTAGGAATTGATAGAACCCGAATTCACATCTAACACATGGTTCCTAAAGTAAACAAAAAAACAAAAACAAAGGGCATTTCACATGCAAACATAACATGTATAAGATAGAAGCAAATATTTACCAGCCCCAAAAAGACCAATCTGGGAATACAATAGCCAAGCTCCCCTCCTCTGCGCAGTATTGAAACAACGGTGGCGGGTCAGCATTCGGGCCCTGAAAGTCCTTTGATAGGATGACGGGCAGATCACCACAATTAAACATGAGCTCCAAGTCAGGCAATCTACCGGGGTACACCCTTAGAAGCTGCAAAATGCCCCATAACGTAAACATATCCCTAGTTTGATAGGATTTTCTATACTTCTCTATGTAAGCCTTGCCGTCCACGATCAAGAGCCTAAAATCCGCAGTCATGCGGGCCCGCTCTATCATGTCCCTCGTGATTCCAGTCTCTTTCCACGGCTGTAGATCTTCGTGGATCCATCGGAAGTATGATGGGCATGTGAGATTGGATGGATTGCTAGGATTTGTGGGGTCGTGTGTGGTAGGGTAGGTTCTTGGACAACCTTGTGTCACATTAATTCCTTCGGTACACTGCAGTGGGAATTCAGGTCTCTTGGGTGTGCTTGTGTTTGTGGTTGTTATGATTGATTTCTTAGAATAAGCACCTGAAAATATAAACTAAGAGAGAAAAATATGAATTGTATACGTTAGTATCAAAGGAGAGATTTTGATACAAAGAACTTTTCTATGCAATGCAAAGCTATATATGACTTGTACTTCAATAAATTTTCTTTGTATTTCTTTTCTGATAACTAATATTTCGTTTCTTAGTAATATCAGTTTAGTATACACATTCTTAGGCAATTCTCACTTAATTAGTTG